TTGACCCTGGTTCGAGTCCTGGACCTGGTGGCTTTCTCTCTCTCTCTCTCTCTCTCTGTCTTTCTCTGGTCAAAATTAATTGATAAAATTAAATAAATAATTAAAAATAAATATTTTTTTAAAAATAAATAAAGAAGGCATTTAATAGTAGTTATCATCCTCCCCAGTCAACCAAAAGACTAGTTAGTCATTACTTCATGACTGTAGATCTGTGTAAGGTGCAGTATAGGATGCAAAAGAAGAGAAGACATGGGGATTTTTTTGGTTTTTTTTGTTTGTTTGTTTTTTTAAGAAAGATTCTTGCTATAAGGGTGCAGGTGCTTGCTAGAGAGTCAGAAAGCTAGATATCACCCCCCCAGGGGGGATGGCCATGCCATAATCTCTTCTCTTCCATTCTCCTTTTGGGATTTTGGGCGTGCGCGCATGCACACACACACACACACACACACACACACACATACACACACACATGCTTGACGTGAGTTTTAAGCCACTGGGTCAGGGTCTTGAACTGCAGTCAACCACGTGGGAATCCAGTGATGTAACCATTGCATCATCTGCTGATCCCAAGAAAACATGATTCTTAAAGAGCATAAAATCTGATTAGGAAGACAAAACTAACATTTCTGAAACAGTATGTGAGCATGTAAGCACTACTGTGGAAATATTATTAATGTAATATACCCTCAAAGAAGGCATATTTGGGACCAGCAAATGGCATAGTAGTTACATCACTGGACTCCCATATAGTTTACCACAGTTTGAGCCCTAGACCTGGCAACTTAAACCTCACACCAGGTATGTGAGCGTGCATGCCCAAAATCCTGAGAAGAGGATGGAGAAGAAGGGATTATGGGATGGCCATCCCCCCTAGGAGTGGTTTCTCTCTTTCTATCTCTTGTCTCCTGATGAGCATGTATGCCCTATAGCTGAAAATCTCTCTCAGGTATATTTACCTGTGGGATCCAGCTGCCCTAATCACCAGGCCATGGAACCAGCTCATAGGTATATTTCTGTAGTGCTCAAATTTTTTGCTACAACCAATATTATCTTTTCATAAGAAGAAAAAAAAAAATAAAGGGAAATTTTCTAAGAGACCCTAAGGGATTCCAATTTTGTAGCTAGGTTTGAGCCCCTAAAGTTAGGTTTTTTTCTAGTGTGACCATCTTTAGAAGTTGGATAAAATTACCTGTGTAAACTGGTAACTTAACAAGCTCAATTATACCATACCTACAGTCTCCCTATTTCATAAAACCTGAGAATCACATGCAGAACTTTGATCACAGTCTTGCCATTTCCCCTGAGATTACCAGCAAACAATATCTAATGTAGACTAGATCTGAGGAGATTGTCTATCATCTCCTTCCATGGATGTGCTTTTGGAGACCTCAGTTGAGGTATTTACCCTGGGAAGTGCTTTGGCATCCAAAGGCATTGCTCCATCCACTGTTGGAACTACAAGATAATGTTCATTATAAGCACGGTCTTTGACCATCAATTCCAGCCTTCTGTTTTGACATCTGTCAAATCAGCTCTTACCCAAAATTACTGAGAAGTTGTCTATACACACAACTACCAGGAAAGACACTAGGGTAAGGTATTTTATTTAACATTGGCAGTGTTAATGAATTGGAAACTCTCTCTTCCTTCTAACTTTTGTATCTAACATATTTATAGTCCAAAGTGAATAATGAGCAATCTCAAATGAAGTAATTTCTCAAGGAAAGAGAGAAGAAAAGCAGACTAAAATCACAGAACTCCAAAAAGTAGAAACTCTAAGGATCTAAGAATGATTGTACCTGATAGTTGTAGGCTCTTAATTCTCTCTCCCTGCCCTAGGTCCTAGAAGAACATCTTCTCCAAGTATTAGGAACATTGAAAGGGAAAAATATTACATTTATGAGTTCCTTCTGTTATTAGTTATGAAACTTGTTCCTATCATTTGGAAGCAATTTAAGCAAGACTCAGAAATGCTTACTAGAGCTCTGTGACACACATGTCTTCCTGTTTTGCAGCAGTGAATGTAAAGCTAGATGAGTCTGGGAACAGAGAAACCATTGGTATCCACCACACCTGGCCTTCTTTCCTCACCCTAGAGTTTCACTATTTAAGAATAAATAACATATTGGTACCAGCAGTTAGTGTAATGGCTATGTCGCTGGACTCCCATGTAGTCGACCGCGGTTCAAGTCCCAGACCCGGCGGCCTAAACTTACGCCGGGCGCATGTGCGTGCATGCCCAAGATCCCGAGAGGAGAATGGAGAAGGAACTGCGACGTGGCCATCCCCCCTGGGGGATGATTTCTTGCTTTCTATCTCTCTGTCTTTGTCTGTTTGGCGAGCACACACACCCTATAGCGAAAACCTCTCCCCACCCCAAAAAAAAAGTAAAAAAAAAAAGAATAAATAATATATTAAGAACAAATAAGCCATTAAACAGTGAAAAAACACAAAGGTAGAGTATAAAGGAAAAGGTAATGGAATATTTTCAGCTAATTAGCTTATAATCACCAGGCTCACTCTTTTTTAAAAAAAATGCTAGAGGGCACATGTGCACACAAGTGAGAAAGATTGAGAAAGAAAAAGTACCCCTTAATAGGACCAGGTCATACCACAGTTCTTCTTTTTTCTTCAAATTTTTTATCTTTTTAGGACCTTGGGCACATACTCACATGCCTGGTGTAACGCTGTCAGGGCCAGAATTTGAATCTCAGTCATCCATATGGGATCCAGCTTCCTCTACATTGTACCTAACCACACCTGGAGAGGAGTCCAACTTTACTTTCCTCTCTTAAAGCCTATCTACAATATTTCGAACAGCATCTATGATTCCGAGTTACTACCTTTTATTTTATTTTGTTTTTAAGATTTTTGCCTCTCCCACATGCGCTCTCAGGAGAGGAGAACTGACAGAGACAGTAGGGGAGAAAGTGAGAAATCATCCTCCAGTGGGATGGCCACACCATGATCACTTCTCCATTCTCCTCCTGGGATTTTGGGCATGCATATACGTGTGCCCAGCATGATTGTCAAGCTGCCAGGTCTGAGACTCAAACCTTAGTCTGCCATGTGGAAGTCCAGCTCCTTAACCACCACGCCACCTGCTGCCCCCCTCCCAAGTTATTACCTTTTAAACTATATCCAGTTAGAGCCACAAAATAAGAAGGCATTTTATTGAGATACAATTTACTTAGCATAAAATTCACAGTATACAATAAATTTCAAGTACACAGTTTAGTAGTTTTTAGTATATTCACAAAGTTAGGTGACTATCCTAGACAGAAACGCCTATTCATTAAGTCTCTTCCCATTTCCCGCCTGCCCCAAGACTCTGGCAACCACAGTACACTTTATATCTCTGTAGATTTGCCTATTCTAGATGTTTTATGTAAATAGAATCATATAACGTAGTCTTTTTTTTCTGGCTTCTTTCATTTGGTGTATGAAAGAAGGTTTTATTGTATACCAAGTAAGACAATGTCGTTTGTAGTCTGGCTTATTTCACTTAGAACTAACATGTTCTAGGTTCAAGTACTTTGTATCTGATAACGGTATTTTGTTCTTTGTGGCTGAGTAGTATTCCATTTATGTGCCTTTTTTCTTTTTTTTTTAAGTTTTGCTATGGGGCACGTGTGCTTGCCAGAGAGAGACAGAGAAAATGGTAAAGTGAGAAATCAGCCTCCAGGAGGGGATGGCCACACCACAGTCTCTTCTTCCCCAGCCTCCTCGCTAGATTTTGGGCACACACCTGCTCAGTGTGATTTTCAGGCCACCAGACCCAGGACTCAAACCATGCAGTTGACCTTGTGGGAATCCAGTATCTTAACCTCCATGCCCTTGCTGACCCACTGTGTCACTTTTTTAATTCAGTCATCAGTTATTAAACACTTACGTTGACTCTGTGTTTTAGCTATTGTAAATAATGCTGTAATAAACATGAGTGTGCACCTGTCTGAGTAACCTGTCTCAGCTTTCTGACTAATTTCCTGTCCTTTGTGTAAATACACTCAGGAGTGGGATTACAGGGTCATATGGTAGTTCCATTTGTAAATTTTTGAGGGACGTCCATATTTTTTTCCAAAATGGTTGTACTAATTTACATTCCCATCAACAGTGCAGGAGGGTTCCATTTTCACCATAGACTCACCAGCACTTGTTCCTTGTTTTTTGATCATAGCCATTCTACTGGGGTTAGGTGATACCTCATTGTGGTTTTGATTTGTATTTCCCATATGATAAGCTATATTGAGCATTTTTTCTTATGCTTTTTGGCCATGTGTATGTCTTCCTTTGACAGCTGTTTGCTCAGATCAGTTTTCTGTTTT